GAAGTCCAGTTGTTATTGCTTTAAATCTTGTTTGGATTTAACATGTCCTGGATAACAGAGAATCTTCACCAGTCTTAAATAGAAGCACACATCCTACAGAGAGAATTAAAAATTAAAAAAAGACCTGCTATATATTCTAAGTTGGTTGACCTACAAGTGGAACAGTCAGAGTGTTTAACCCAATGGTGCAGGTTGACTCAAGGAACTTAAAGAAACATGACTTAAACATGTTTTATTGACAAACTCTTGACAAAAGGCTGGCAGCACAAACTTACAGAGAAACATGGGAAGCTGTAGGAGAACACAGGGAGGAACCAGACCAGGCATGAAGACATGATGCAGACTGAACTACCAGATAATAAAGATCAGAGTTGAGAAACGGAACAAAAAGCACCTGGACTTACAGTATGACAAACAGGAGCAGGTGGTGAAGTGGACTCAGGGAAGTGGCAAGAGACTCAGGCGAACACAAGGACTCAAAAGCCAAGCATTAGTTTAGAATGGCGCAGAGATTATCCAACTGTGTCTACGTTTCAACCGTTTAGCTGTCAAATGGAGGAAATGTGAAAATTTTGGGAGGTAGTTCTCCTTTTTCAGCAAGTCTTCTGGTGCATATTGAAAACACAGTGGGTCCCTCATTACAAGTGATAGAGTGTGGTGGTGCCACATTGCCATTTTGTTTTTTGAGCGTGTATAAAACACATGGAAATGTTCATGGAGGTTTACAGTATTATTGAGGTGGCAGCGTTTCAGGTTTAAACCCTTACAAAACATGTTTTTCATTGTGATCACAGAGAAAATCGTGTAATCATGTTAACATTTTACATGCAAAGCTCATATGTTTTTGTCCCAATTAGACATAGAGAAACAAAATCAAAACATATTTCACATGCACTTCACGTCACATCTTAGTTTAACATTTTACATGTAAAAAAAACAGTGGTTTCCATGTTACATTCATGTGATTTTTATTTTTTTCTAAGGGTGGGTGGAGGTTGGAGGCAGCAGTTGCCATGCTTGCCTCTCACCCAGGCTACAAATGAGATCATGCCAAGGTCATGGAGACAGCCTCGTTTAAAATTCCCATGGCGTTAGCATACTGCTAGCTTGGCATGATCTCCCAGGCGTTGGTACATCCTGACATTGTGCCAGTGTGGAAGTAATGGTGTGGTGCGATCATGGTAGCAAATAATGTTGCTGACATAACAAGTGTGGTCATGGTACACAAAATAG